CAGAAGGATAACCTTATTACCTTATTCCTTGCAGTTAAAAAGAAGAAAACATTATATATTTCAAGCCAAGATTTTAAAACCCTAAGCCTAACATCCTACTTTTACATTTAGAATTTAGTCTTTCTTTTGTCCATGTATAAAAATCAATAAACTTGAAAGTTACTAAATGTCGCCCTCAGATAAGCTTTATGTTCTTCAGTAAATTAAAAAGAGATCCACAAGATCTTTGAATCTCTACTTATTAGGTGTCAGTTTTAACTTATTTAAAACATGTTTTAAATATTTTTCTCACACTTTTAGTGTCTCATAGAAAAGTCATTTAGAAAATAATTTATAGGGTTAAATCATTTAATATGTAATTTTCTTAAAACCTGCATGGAAGCCTAATGTATTTAACAAGTACGGGCATACCTTGGAGATATTGCGGGTTAGGTTCCAGACCACCATAATAAAGCAAATATCACAATAAAGTGAGTCACATAAAGTTTTGGTTTCCCAGTGCCTATAAAAGTTATGTTTACCCTATACTATAGTCTAGTAGGTGTGCAATAGCATTATGTCTGAAAAACAATGTGCATACCTTAATTAAAACATACTTTATTGCTTTAAAATGTTAACCATCATCTGAGCCTTCAGAGAGTCATAACCTTTTTACTGGTGGAGGGTCTTACTTTCAATTTGTAAAAACCACAGTATCTGTGAAGTGCAATAAAGTGAAGCTCAATAAAACAAGGTATGCCCGTAAATTATACTTTAGTGTGTAGTATTAACCTGTACCAATTTAAAGTTATGATTAGGGAATGGGGATGTTTTTCAGCAGAACTGTCTTGCTGCAGAACTTTTTTTTTTTTTTAATATGACCACAATGTAACTCTCAGAATGCTCAGGCAATAGCATAAAACCTCATTGCTGTGTGCCAGGAGACTTTTATAGCTACAGCAATGGAGAGAGTAATTCACATGCATGCAGGCAACTCAAAACTCAAGTGGAGAATTTGTTGTGTGTGTGAACAAGTCATATTATTTGCACGAAGGGAATCAGCAGCATCTTTTTCCATGGGAGCTATTAAAAGATCGTTCCTGGGTTGGAATGATCTGCTCTTTTAGAAAATAAAGGCTTTTAAGAGATGTTTTTAGGATTAAGGATACGCTAATTTTATTAAATGAAAATATTTGTAACTTCTACTCTGTCACTGACAAAGCAAGTTTCTCAATAAAATACCTATTTTAAATTGCATTGCCAACATCTTTTCTTTGAGTAATCTGTGTAGTGCAGAAGCCATCATAGAAAGGTCTTTTAAGTTTTCAATGTTTTCTTAAGTGGGTCTCCTGATATTGTTCTATTCTTCGTGAGCCTGTGGGATCTGTGCACAGGGTCTTGCTCAGTTATGCATTCAGTAAACACTATTTATTAATGACTCAATGTAACATTAGGGTCCTTTTCACATATTTCGTAATTTTTAATATTCAGGGTCACAGCTAGGAAAATTATGATACAATTTTGAAAAAAAATCTTTTATCCTAATTTTCAGCATGATCAATTGTTTTTTCCTTTGTTCTCAATAATTCCATGCCTAGCCTGTGCTTAAACTAATATTTTTAGAATAAGGTAAAGTGTGCTTGGAATTTTAAGAATAGCAATTAATGATCGATAAGTTTCTAAAAGATAGAAAAAACATAAAACTATTATTTAGTATGTCTTCTATGCAGCAGAATACAGCTCTTAGTTTTTGTCCCTTCATATCTCATATCATGTAAAATACTATATTACTTTAGACCACTGAACACTGATAGTCAAGTGATGAATGATGGTTGGAAGCATTTCAGGATCAGAAGTGTTATCACCATCCTTCAGGAAAAGATAAGGATGATAAATTTCTACAAATGGTATGATAAAATTCTGAAGTAATGAATTAAAAAGAGAAAACATTCATTCTGTAGAACCTGTTTTTGGCAAATTTTATAAGTAGGCACTAAATTTCCAAAATTCTAGGCTGCATAATTATTTCAACAGCAGAATTTTTGGTTGAAGATTAATATATTAATGATTTCATCAAAGATCAAACAAACTAGCTTTCTCTAAAATAGTTTTTTGGATTACTTCTTTTATTTAGTAATGATAAATAATAAAAAACATCATTTAAGGGATGACCCCCCCAAAAAGCTTAATTTTAGCTGCTACATATTTTACTTTTAAGAAATACATGAAATTTTAAGAAAATCATACATTTTATTCAAGTGTAGCAACATTCTCATCATGGAAGGGCCAGAAGCAGAAGAGAGCAAGCAAGAAATTGAAAACCTATTTGAAAAAATTATGACAGCAAACTTTCCTAACCTGGTGAAAGAAATAGGCATACAAGTCCAGGAAGCACAGAGAGTCACAAACAAGATAAACCAAAAGAGGCCCATATCAAGACACATCATCATTAAAATGCCAAAGGTTAAAGACAAAGAGAGAATCTTAAAAGCAGCAAGAGAAAAGCAGTTAGTTACCTACAAGGGAGCTCCCATAAGATTGTCAGCTGATTTATCAAGAGAAACTTTGCAGGCTACAAGGGACCAGCAAAAATATTCAGTTATGAAAAGCGAGGGCCTACAACCAAGATTACTCTACCCAACAAGCTATCATTTAGAATCAAAGGACAGATAAAGAGTTTCCCAGACAAGAAAAAGCTAAAGGAGTTTATCACCACCAAACCAATATTACATGAAATGTTAGAGGGTCTTCTTTAAGAGAAGGAAAAAAAAGATCAAGCATATGAACAACAAAATGGCAAAAAATACATACCTATCAACAATTGAATCTAAAAAACTAAATAATCAGGCAGGAAAAAAAATACTCATAGCCAGAGAACATTTTGATGGTTGCCAGATGGGAGGGGGTTGGGAGATTGCGTGAAAATGGTGAAGGGGTTAAGAAGTACAAATTGGTTGTTACAATATATTCATGGGGATGTAAAGTACAGCATAGGGAATAGAGTCAAACCTTAGTTCTTGAACGTCTTGGAGTTCTTCATTTTCGAACAATTTGGTTCTCAACCAAGTTATTCAAGGCAAAAATGTCTCACTTGTCGAACAAAACTTTGGGTCTCAATTCCCTACCCTACAACCACTTCATGCTCGTACATTAATGATCGGTCACACACCTCTCAGGCAACAAACAAAGAAGATTTGGTTTTTGAACAAATTGCTTGTCAGTTCTGGAATGAATTAAATTCAAGAACCTAGGTCCCACTGTATAGTCAATAATATTCTAATAACTATGTATGGTGTCAGATGGGTATGAGATTTATTGGTATGACCACTTAATAAGTTATATAATGTCTAATCACTGGGGTGTCCACCTGAAACTAAAATATTGTATGTTAACTGTAATCGAAAAATAATTTTTAAAATGGTGAATGTATAAGAAGATAGGGACAAATAAGCAGGATCTTGTTGATAGTCATTAAGAATTTGGACTTATCTCAATGACCCTATATAAAAGTTTCAGACTCAACAATAAGGAAATGAACAATCTGATTTTAAAAATGAAAAAAAAGATCTTAACAGCTATACAGATGGCAAATAAACATATCAAAATATGTTCTCCGTCATGTCATCAGGTAAATGCAAATTAAAACAATGAGATACCACTACAAACCTTTGGAAATGGCCAAAATCCAAAACACTGACAACTCCAAAGGTGGGCAAGGATGTGGAGCAATAGGAACTCTTATTCATTACTGGTGGAATGCAAAATGGTAGTCACTTTAGAAGAGTTTGACAGTTTCTTACAAAACTAAATATGCTCTTACCATACCATTTAGCGCTCATGTTTCTGCGTATATTTACCCAAATGGGCTGAAAATTTATGTCTACACAAAAATATGCAGACAGGTATTTATAACAGCTTTATTCATAACTGCCAAATGATGGACACAACCAAGATGTCTTTCAGTAGTGCATACTAGCAGGCAAGCTATCCAGACAATGGAATATTATTTAGTACTTAAAAACTATCAAGCCATGAAAACACATGGAAGAATTTATATGCATATTACTAAGTGAAAAGGCCAACCTAAAAAGGCTATATACTGTATGATTCCAACTATATGACATTCTGGTAAAAGCAAAACTGGAGACAATAAAAAAAACTGGTTGCTAGAGGTTAGGGGTAGGGAGGGATGAATAGGTGGAACACAAAGGATATTTAGAGCAATGAAACTGCTCTATATGATACTATGATTATGGATACATGTCATTATACATTTGCCCAAACCCATAGAAAGTACAAGTGAACTGTAATGTAAACTATGGATTTGGAGTGATGATGTGTCAGTGTAGGTTCATCAGTTGTAACAAATGTACCATGCTGGTGTGGGATGTTGATATTGGGGGGGGGGGAATAGTACAAGGGGATACAAGAGCTCTGTACTTTCTGCTTAGTTCTGCTCTAAACCTAAAACTGCTAAATAAAAAAAAAAAGGGTCTTTTTTTTTTTAAGTTTTAGGAGGAAAATTCATGATCAAATTCACATTTTTTAATAGATCGTCACTCTGGCTACACTAATTCACATGAATGGAGATAAAGACCAAATACAGGTTTAGAAGAACAGTTAACTGCAATTGTCTAAGTGAGAGATGGTGCTAGTTTAGTCTCAGGTAGTGTTGAAAGAGAAAGTGAAAATGTGCTGCCCTTACAGAGAGAAATAAGATACAATTATGTGTCCCTGGATAAATCAATATACTGCTTACCCTTAGTTCCTCATATATTAAAAAAGAGAAAGAGGAGGTATATGGGGTTGAACAAGGGTCCTCATGATTTAGGGAAAAACTGTCACTGAATCAAATGTGAGGCAAACAATTAACTGAGGACTTGAGATGGATATCTTTTCTTTAATGGCAGCCCTGTATTAAAGAACAGCGAAATCAGTCAGAATATGGTTTTTATGAGAGAACTTTTATTAATTTTTAAAAAATATTTTATTGACTATGCTATTACAGTTGTCCCATTTTTTTCTCCCTTTATTCCCCTCTGCCCTGCACCCTCCCCCCACCAGCATTCCCACCCCCCTTAGGGTCATACATATAAGTTCTTTGGCTTCTCCATTTCTTATACTATTCTTAACCTCCGTCTGTCTGTTTTGTACCTACTATTTATGCTTCTTCCCTGTACCTTTTCCCCCATTCTCCCCCACCCCTCCCCTCTGATCTCTATTTCTGTGATTCTGTTCCTGTTCTAGTTCTTTGCTTAGTTGTTTTTTTTTTAGCTTCAGTTGTTGATAGTTGTATGTTGTCATTTTACTGTTCATAGATTTTGATCTTCATCTTTTTCTTAATGTCCCTTTAACATTTCATATAATATGGGGTTGGTGATGATGAACTCCTTTAACTTGACCTTATCTGGGAAGCACTTTACCTGCCCTTCCATTCTAAATGACAATTTTTCTGGATAGAGTAATCTTGGGTGTAGGTCCTTGCCTTTCATGACTTTGAATACTTCTTTCCAGCCCCTTCTTGCCTTCAAGGTTTCTTTTGAGAAATCAGCTGATAGGCTTATGGGACTCCTTTGTAGGTAACTGTCTCATTTTTTCTTGCTGCTTTCGATTTCCTCCTCCCCTTTAATCTTGGGTAATGTAATTACGATGTGCCTTGGTGTGTGCTTCCTTGGGTCCAACTTCTTTGGGACTCTCTGAGCTTCCTGGATCTCCTGGAAGTCTATTTCCTTGGCCAGATTGGGGAAGTTCTCCTTCATTATTTTTTTCAAATAGATTTTCAAATTCTTGCTGTTCCTCTTCTCCTTCTGGCACCCCTGTGATTCGGGTGTTGGAATGTTTAAAGTTGTCCCAAAGGTTCCTAAGCCTCTCTTCACTTTTTTTAATCCTCCTTTCTTCATTCTGTCTGGATGAATGTTTCTCTCTTCCTTTTGCTCCCAATTGTTGATCTGAGTCCTGGTTTCCTTCCCTCTACTCTTGGTTCCCTGTATTCTTTTCTTTATTTCGCTTTGCATAGCCTTCACTTTTTCTTCCATTTTGTAACCATACTCAACCAATTCTGTGAGCATCCTGATTATCAGTGTTTTGAACTGTCCATCTGAGTTTGGCTATCTGTTCATTGCTTAGTTCTGTTTTTGATCTGTTTCATTTGGGAGCTTTGATCTGTTCTTTCATTTGGGCCATATTTTTTTTGTCTCAGCACGCCTCTTACATTGGAAGGGGCAGAGGCTTAGGTATTTGCCAGGGTGGGGCAACGCAGGCCACTGTGTTGTGATGCTGTATGTAGTCCAAGAGGGAACAGTGCTGCTCCCTCAGCTCTCAGCCAGCTTTCAGTCACTTCTACCATTACCCACAAGCAGATTAGGCCCTTCTGGTGTTGACTCGTGGGTGGGTGGGTTTGTGTACATTCTAGGACCCTGTGGCCTCTCCAATGAACTCCCCTGTGAGGCTAGGAGTTTCTCCCACCACTGCAACCCCTACATGTTTTTATAGCCAGAGGTTTTGAGGCTTTCTTTTCCCACACTAGAACCCTGGCTTGTGCCATCTGTCTTGCTCCCCCCCCCCCATTCCTCCCAGTTTGTCCGCATGCAAATGTGGGACTGCCTGGTCCTCCAGCCACCCTTGCTGCATGTCCTCTCCACCCTGGCTGCCCATCTCCACCCCTCCTACTGGTCTGGATGAATGTTTCTTCTTTAATTCTTTGGTTGTCAGACTTCCATAGTTTGATTTTCTGGCAGTTTTGGTTATTTTCTGTCTCTAAATTTGTTGTTCTTTTGGTTGTGCAAGGAGGCAACGTGCATCTCCCTATGCCTCCATCTTGGCCAAAAGTTCTGTCTATGAGAGAACTTTTAAAAACAGTTTCCTAGGCACTCTTTAAATATAATGATCCACTACCTTAGTAATAATCTGAGTTGCAATGGTGGTAATTAACAAATGTGATGATGTGATCAAATATGTAAAATGGACATTTCTGGAAACCAATAAATATTGTATATAGTGTTAAGTTGGATTTTTCTTTTGTTTATATCTGCAACTTTGAGTATTACTTGGTAATCTCTATGTAATTTAACAAAGTTTTGTAAGCTTTGGGTAGATATTATTCATTTATAATGTTCACAATACATTATATATTAAAATGTTCTTAATGTTCATAATACACTAATAGTTCTATTTAATTGTTACTATTTCCTTCCTGTTTCTGTTTTCATTGCATGAACAGAAGTAAAAGATGAGAGAAATTCAAGACAGAAACAGTATCTCCTAAGGTCTTGGTTCCCTATCCTATTTCCTAATCTCTCAGACAAGCTCTTCTAAAAATATTAACATAAAAGCCTACTAAAGAGTATGGCCAAAAAAGAACAGAAGCTACATAATTAGACCTAAAAGTTCACTGGTCATCCAAGTCTTGAGAAAGAGCATGTCTGAGTTTAATAAAAGCACATTTACAGAATTAACACACTGCAATAAGATTTAATGTGTAAACTGGAACACTCTGTTAGAACTGGTTAATATTTGCCCAAAGCATAAAAAAAGAAAAAACAACTCACTACATGAGACAATATTTTTCATTACTACAGAAAAATCCTTCTCATAATTGAGAGGACAATGCACAATTTTAATAAACATAAATCCATGCATTGTTTTAATGTTTCATGCTTTATGCAGAATTGAATGTGTGATTTATAAAAAGTTACTGTAGCTACAAATAAAAATAACACAGGCCAGTACCTGATGTAATAATTGGCTATCCCATGATGTATGTGTCTAATTCCAATGTTATTTTCTTTCTCAGTGTTTCAGCAATTATATGCAGTTTTAATAATCAAGCTATCACTTGAATGCTATTACATAATAATCATATTTGTTCACACTAGGTATATATCATTTACCAACGTGATTGTTTCTGGCTTTGAGGAAGATTGCTGACCTTCCTCAGAGCCAGAATCAATGTGATCATTAAAAACTAATATTTGACTTATAAATCTGAATTTCATCTTTTGCACACTGAGGAAAAAGATTAACAATTTTATCCACATCAAGATGCCTGTTTTGAAGGATTGATTCCATCTCTTTGAATAGTTGTTTTTCCAGTTTCTTCATGTTGTCCAACATTGTTTTGGCTTTTTCCTGAACAATTAAAAATAAAAATAAATAAACACACACACAAGTGCAGCCAAATTCCAACCAAATTCTATAGACAAATATTCTTCATTCTATTTTCGACTTCTGATTTGGTTCCCTTCCTCCTATTCTTTAGATACAGAAGGACTAAAATTCTTCTGGAAAAAAATCATTGCTCTGGATTGAGTTAATGTATTAATCCCGAATTACTAGTTGTTTTTAGTAGAATAGTTATATAGGATTAGCCTATGAGTAAGAAATCTAAAAGACAAATAACAGGGCAGTTGAAAATCTGATATTAATTATACATGAAAATGCTGTTGAAAAATTGAGGCTGAGATATTTTTATGACATTGGATCTTCTATATTTAAAAAACATATTATCAAATTAAACAAAGGAAATAGAACAGTAATGTTCAAGGAAAGGAGTAACTAAAAGATAAGAAAGTTACTAGAAAGTGAGCATAATTTTTAAAATTTGAACCATTATGGGGCAGAACTCCACAAAACAAAGGTCCTTAACCTTAACATGGACTTCAATATGAAATTGTATGCATTCTTTTCCTAAAGAAATTGCATTTCATGTCAGTGAAGAAAAAAATACATTTTGCCTATAACGGCATTAGAATCATTATTCACCTCTCTGGATAACAAAGTTAGAATCCCTACTTCACAGCATACACAAAAATAAGTTCCAGATGAATTAAAGAACTAAGTATTTTTTTCAAACACATATATAAGAAAATGCAAAAGTTATAGTGATTTTAAAGTGAGGCAGGCCTTCTGAAGCATGATATCAAGATGCTTTAAGGGAAAAGACTAACAAGTGTAATTGACTAAATTAAAATTTTTTGTCTGACAAGTCAAACAACAAACTGATACTAAAAATTTGAAAATATAACAAAGACTATTCACACAGTTGGTCTCTTAGAGGCAAAAGACAAAAACAGCTAATAATCGATTAAAAAATAGGCTAACGAAAAGAATAGGCAAGTCTTAAAGAGGAAATACTAATGGCCAATATACGTATGAGAAATTTTTCAATCTCATTAGTAATCGAGATGTAAATTAAAACTGCAAGTAGGATCGACTGTCCCTACAACACAAAAGTAGTTATTTGCAGAACCAGGACTAGAACCCAGCTTTTTGTCACTACTACCCTCAAATTCTATTGTCCTACTATATGTTGTCAATCAATATTTCATGCCCATTAAATAAAGCCTAAAATAGTAACAGCTCTTAAATTTTTATTTCAGTATTACTTAGAAAAAAGCTAATCAGCAATTTAGTTTAACAAACATTTAATAAGTCTACAAAACTCACCTCCAGAAGCAGTACTGAGGGGGAAAGGAAGCTGACAACTCTAAAGAACTATCATAAGCAATATGGGCAGTGGAGTGGCTGTTCAGGGAGGAGGAGTGAGGGAAAATTCCCTCCAGAGCAGACGCTCTAGAAACACATCACTGAGGAACTGGAGCAAAGGCAAGAAAAACCAGAGAGCTCATCCTATGTCATCGCCCTGTGCTGAGGATGGAGGATAAGCCAAGCCCAAGGAGTGGATGACACCTCTCTGGCCCAAAAGCCTGGGCCCTTGTCAGCACACAGTGGACTCTTGAAACAAAACACCTGCCGCTCACTCCATGCCACCAGGCTACCGAGTGTTTACACTGTAGGTCAGGAGTGAAAACATACTGGGCTCAGATAAAGCAAGAATTTATAGCAAATAGGGGGTCTGGACAGAGCTGTCTGCTTTACGCACAAGCAAGAATGAGGTCGGGGAAGGCATGCCAATTACGCAAACACAGTGCAGACAGAATAAACAATCACCCAGAGGAAAAATCATGTAATTCATTTAATATAGATAGAATGTAAACGCATATGCCATGACGAAGTAAAAGAAATTACTGGCAATAAAAATGAGGAGTTGGTAAAAACAGGTGAGAAAAATATGAAATGGCCAATCTTTTCCTTCATTGCAGGGAAGCAGAAGACGGTTTTGTTAAAAGCCTGTAGGTAGCCCTTCCAATTTCCTTCTAATCTATTTTTTATCTCTGGGGAAGAGAGGGAAGAGGGCAGAAGAGGTGTGGATAGTATAAAATTATTGGTCTATCCATCTACCTGCCTCCCACAAATATATCTCCTTATTTCTGGAGATAAGATTCTGAATGATATGTTAATCTTCTATAATGCTTATATTTTAAAATGATAAGCATTTATCTTTTTTTAAACTCCAACTCATTATTACATTAAGTAGATGAAGTCTTAAAGCACTTTCAATTAAAATTAAGCTGAGGCTGTATGCTTACAAACATTATGTAAGAGACCAGGTTAACTGCCCTCCAGTGGCATTGTAATTTTTGGTGTGAGACATATACTAAGCAAGCTACTTAAACTCTCCAAGTCTCAGATTCCTTATCAGTAAAATGGAGATAATAGTAGTACCTACCTCATAACGAGGCTGTGAAGGTTAAATGAAATATTCCATATAATAGTACTATGGTGCTTGGTGTATACTAAGTGCTCAATAACAAGTAACTATTGATATTATGTTTAATATACAATATCCCTCTAGAAGATTCACAACATATTCTTAACCATTTTTTACCCAAGATAACAAATAATAGAGCTCTACCACAGTCTAAACATCTAAACTATTTTTAAACCTATTTGTATATGGAGGGAAAGAAAGCTAAAATTCAAAATATGGATTGACTCACATTTTAAACTATTCTAATGATAAAACATACGATATGATATAATCATACCTCTTTATTATCTATTACTTTCAATGCCTGTTGATGCTCTTGGTAAAGTGGGTGTCTTCTGTCAGGCTTGATCTTAAATTGTGGCTTCTTTTTAACTGGATCTTCAATTGTTGGTGAACTGGTGTCCAACAGTTGTGAAATGTTTGGCACAAATATGAAAGGCTTAAAAACCGATCTAGGAAAAATAGTCTTTTATTAAATTGTCATGTGAGGATATAAAAATATTCAACATTATTCTAAATCTTGTAAGGGTCCCTCTAGTTAGAAATTTCTACTAATTTGTTACATACTAACGTGTTTCTGTCTACTAGTTGTAGCCATGCCTATCTTCCTGGTACACTGGAATCTCCTCTGGGGCAGGAAACCACGCTTTATTTAGTCTTGTATTTCCATAAACCTAACAAAGGGCTTGGCATATAAACAGTGTCCAGTGAAATTATAGTTCACCATTTTCTGCTGCAAACGCCATAATTGGAGGGTAATAACAATTCTCAATGTTACGGATTGAGGATTAAGATTTTGGATGAACATCAGCAGCACTATTTATAAGGGGTTCATGGGGTTCATTCCATTTTCTTGAAAATACCTTTAATAATATGAAAGCCTATAACACTGAAAGATAGTGAATATAAGATCATTTCTAAATGTAATGGGCATTAAGTTTTGTGAGAGATACTAATAACTTAAGATAGTCTCACCAAACTTGAACTATTGATATTTTTAAGCTTTAAAATATTTTCTAGATATGAGTGCATAAGCAACCATCTAAATCAGGCACATTAGATCATTTACTCTTTTTATTAACTCTGGTTAATCATCTAATATAATACTGAAATCTGCATAAGAAAATCTACTTTCTTTTCTTGACAGTGTTGAATATACTTAGGAAAGGACGCTGTAGGGATGACTGCATACAAGAAACTATTAACATTTCTTCCAGCAAAAATAAGAACAGTTATGGCAATTATGCATATATGGAAATGGGAGACTAAAACCTGAACAGAAAATGCATCCAAAAATTATTTTTGATTTGTGTAACAAAAAGTTAACCTGACACAATCAACAGACTAAAGTCTCAACCCTACCCCCGACTCCTTGCTGGTTTATAGTATTTTGTGACTTTACCTCTCAGGATCAGGAGTCCCAGTAAAGAAGTGAATGCAAGGAAGGTTGGAGTCTTGAGGTAAAATAGAAACCATGCTTGCAGTGGTCAGGAAATCTCCTTCCATGTTAATGCCACTTGGTTTATCTCGGAGAATTTCCATCATTGTTTCAAAAGTTATGTTTCCTAAAGAAATAATTTTTAAAACCATCAAATATGCATAAATTTGCAAGTTAGTATCCTGCAGATATGAACTGCTTTCTCTACTGATAATATATAACGTGAAATATTGGTCTAGGTATAAATTAAGAGACTGATTATAAACAAACCTTACATCGTAACTGTTAGATTAGAATATTCCACTATTGCAAGAAAAGTACTTTTTTAAATATGAAATATACAGTCTCAAAACCATTAGAGCAAGTAAAAATCTATGTAACTTCCTAAGAAGAAGGAATCAATAATGCAAAATTACATTCAATCTCACTGCCCTTACAAAAAATTTTAAGGTGTATTTAGTTAGCAATGAACTGATGATATCAATATTATGAGTTTATTCATTCTAGGAAACAACTATTGAGAGAATATTGTCCTTAGTTTCCAATACTATTATTCAAGATGTTCTTTATAAAATAACAAATTATTTTTTTCCTGTAATAATTCTGTGCCTGAAATTAATACTTTTATTCAAAAGTGTGAATTGTAGTCTGAGTAGGAATGGCGACATGTGAAAGACATTATTGGTTAATGGAATCTGTATGTGCATAATTATGCTAGACTATAAAAGTTTGCATGTCCATCGTGTATGATAAAAAACAAATGGTCTTATATTCTGCTTTCTGATTTCATAAGTAAAGTTTGACCCTTAAGGAGATTTTTCTAAGAAAAATATTTTAAATTTTATTTCTTTAGCCAACATAATATGTCCACGGTTACAGAGAGCCTCACAATTCCACATTTGGATGGCATTTCTACCAAAAACTTCTGAAAGTCTATCAAGCCTTCAGACAGGTCTGTGATATAGTTTGGGATCTAACTACATCATGATAAGATCAATAATCTTAATCCTACACAATGCAGTCCTCCAAACATGGCCAAAACTTCTCACATGTCATAATTAAATTCTCTAAAATTTATGACTTTCAATTCCTCCTGAATCAAATTAAAACCCCTTCAGATGTAAACTTACTACTAAACTTACCTTAAATAACCTTTTCCTCTCCATCTATAGGCATTCCTGATCTCTTGTCTATATTGGTCCTAGCTCTGCCATTAGATTATAAAGTCTCTAAATACAGGAATGGGATTTTTCTGTTTACTTTTCATTATTTTGACAAATATTTATTGAATCCTTTTTAATGCCAGAAATTGTTCTAGGCAATGAAGAGAAAAATAAGCAAGACAGATACTGATAAAACATAGGCACAGATTTGTAGATTTGTGAATATAAAGAGTGAAAGTCCCCTGATTCAAATTTCAACTGAGGTAACCACAGTTAACAGTTCAAAAAAAATCTTTCCTCAAGAGTTTCAGAATAGGTTTAAAAGCTTTCCTTTGAGTAAATACAACAAATTCCCATTAACAGAAAAAAACTGGTACCAGAAAATAGCCACTTAAAGCAACATATTTAAAATGAGAGTCAAAATTTCATGGTAAATGCTGGAGGAAAAGGATGAAGTCTTTAAAATGAAACAAATAAACAAACAAACAAAAAAACAACTAAGCGATGAAGAGATAGCCAACCTATCAGATGCAGAGTTCAAAACATTGGCAATCAGGATGCTCACAGAGTTGGTTGAGTATGGTCACAAAATAGAGGAAAAAATTAAGACTACAGAAGGTGAAATAAAGAAAAATATATAGGGAGCCAAAAGTAAAGAGAAAAAAACCAGGACTCGAATCAATGATTGGGAGCAGAGGAAAGAGATAAACATTCAATATGAACAGAATGAAGAAACAAGAATTCAAAAAAATGAGGAGAGGCTTAGGGACCTCTGGGACAACTTTAAACGTTTCAACATCTGAATCATAGGCGTGTCAGAAGGAGAAGAGGAAGAGCAAGAAATTGAAAACTTATTTGAAAAAATAATGGAGAACTTCCTCAATCTGGCCAAGGAAATAGACTTCCAGGAGATCCAGGAAGCTCAGAGAGTCCCAAAGAAGCTGGACCCAAGGAAGCACACACCAAGGAACATCATAATTACATTACCCAAGACTAAAGATAAGGAGAGAATGTTAAAAGCAGCAAGAGAAAAGGAGTTACCTTCAAAGGATTTCCCATAAGACTATCAGCTGATTTCTCAAAAGAAACCTTGCAGGCAAGAAGGGGCTGACAAGAAGTATTCAAAGTGGTGAAAAGCAAGGACCTACAACCAAGATTATTCTTTCCAGCAAAGCTATCATTTAGAATGGAAGGATGGATAAAGTGCTTCCCAGACAAGGTAAAGCTAAAGGAGTACATCATCACCAAACCATTATTACATGAAATGTTAAAGGGACTTATTTAAGAAAAAGAAGAAGATCAAAACTATGAACAGTAAAATGGCAACAAATTCACAACTATCAACAACTGAATCTAAAAAAACACACCCCAAAACATAAAAAAAAACCCAAACTAAGCAAACAACCTGAGCAGGAACAGAATCTTGGATATGGAGTTCAGCTGGAGGGTTATCAGCTGGGAGGGGGAAAGGGGAAAATGGTACAGGGATTAAGAAGCATAATTGGTAAGTACAAAATAGACAGGGGGATGTTATGAATAGCATAGGAAATGGAGAAGCCAAGGAACTTATATGCACAGCCAATTAACGGGCAGATTACTGGAAGGAAGGGGAGTACTGGGCAGAGGGGGGAAGGGTAAGAATTGAGAGTTAAAATAGCATAATCAATAAAATATATTTTAAAAATGAAAATAAAAAAGAAATAAAACTCCCAGGAAAGAAATCTGCAGGCCCAGATGGTTTCACTGCAGAAATCTATCAAACACCTAAGGAATAATAACTCCAGTTCACAAATCTCTTCCAGAAAGTAAAACAGAAGGGGACAGTTTCTGACTCATTTCACAAAGTAAATATTATTCTGATACCAAAGCCAAAGACAATACAAACAAAATAAAGAATACAATAGACCTACATCTCTCGTGAATATAGAGGCAAAAAACCCAACAAAATATTATTAATATGACCCAGCAATATATAAAAAAATTATATACCATAATTAAACTGGGTTTATTCCAAGATTGCAAGGTTGGTTCAATATTAAAGATCAATGTAATTTCACACATTAGTAGGCTAAAGGAGAAAAAATCATTTTAATTGACGACAACAAATCAACACTAGACAAACTTCAACATCTATTTATGATAAAAACTCTCAGCAAACAAGGAATAGAGGGAAACTTCTTCAACTAAATAAAGTTGGTAACATGCATCTACAGAAAGCTGCAGCTAACACTATACTTAATAGAAAAAGACTAAATGCTTTCCCCTAAGACTCAGAGCACGGCAAGGATACCTCATCTCACTGTTCTTATTTATTATTAGAAGTCCTAGCTAGCACAATAAGGCAAGAAAAAAAACACAGACTAGAAAGGAATAACTAAAACTGTCTATTTGCAGATGACATGATTGCCTACTTAGAAGATCTCAAGGAATCTGCAAAAAACAAAAACTTCCAGAAGTAAGTTAATTTAGCAAGGTCACAGAATACAAGATCTACACACAAAATAATAATTAAAACAATTTGAAATTTTGAAAAAAAGTCCTCATTAGCAACAATTTATTTAAGGTCTGTAGATGAGAAAGAGAGAGAGTGTTAGTAGAGATATTGAAATGCAGACAAAACTTAATGAACAAAAATGTTCACTGCAACATGATTTACAGTAGCAAAAATTAGAAGCAACTAAATGACAAACAATTCCATTTGTTACATGCCTGTGTTCTCCCCTCTACTAGTCACTATGTTCCAAAAGGCCACAGACCATATCAAACATGTCTGCTGCTATGTGACCCCATGCCTAGCACAGAGTAAGTTCTCACAAAAGATTTCTTTAATGAAAAATAAAAGTCAATACAGTAAACCTAAATAAATAAAACTATATAAAGCCTACTTAGGAGCACAAAGGAAATTGTAAATAAATGAACCACTATATCTTGTTCTCGAATAAGAAGGCAGTATCATTAGATGTCAACTCTCCCCTAAAATAATTTACAGTTTTAATTCAATTCCAATCAAATTTCAAAAAGATTTGGGGGGTAGGAAGAGTTTAAGAAGTTATTGTAAAATTCATCTGAAAAAACGAACATTCAAGGATTGCCAGGAAAATTGTGAAGAACCCCCTCCCCCAAAAAGACCTGTAACAGGAGATACCTGTTTCGCCATATTAAAGAAAACAGTATTGTAAATTCACTCATATTCTTTGGCACATAAAACAAGCATTGAGCACTTACTTTGAACACTTATACTGTTCTAAACAAAATGGACAAAACACAGTAATCTAATTTGCATGTGGGTGTACTTAGGTATTTATATTTGATAAAGCTGGATGGCATTTCATATCAGTAGAGAAAAGATCATTCATTTAATAAGTGATGCTGAGATCACTGGCAAATCATTTGAGGGGTGGAGAAAAAAGCTGGAGCCCTAATTCATACATTATTTTAAAATAATTTTATGTGAATCAATATTTTAATTTACAACATAAAGGTATAAATATGAGATGTAGACACATTTCTGGTACAGTAAAAATGATCTTTCTAGAAGTACAATATCAGTTTCTAATAATATATTATTAGTTTCTATTTATTCCAACTATACTTGTACTTTTTCCCTTTTTCTCCTTTCTTGCCCTTGAATTTTTCAAGTATTTATTAGTGTATTTCTATGCTTTGGCTTATTATTTATTCATTTATTATTTTATTAATTTCTCTTGACTTATTCCAGCCTGCCTTAAGTCAGTTCTTCACCATTTATCAGTTAACACCAAGATCTTACAACACTTTAATTACTGTCTCCTATCTTTTGTGCTATTCTCACACATTTAATTCTATTATAGTTATCTGGGTCTTCTGAGAAGCAGATACCACAACTTGATATTAAGTATACAAGGATTTTATTAGGGGGGAATGCCTGTGTGAGAAACTAATACAAGTCTGAACCTGGGTTTAGTAGAGAGGGAATGAAAGTCAG